TTAAGCCCCCCCGCTCACTACAGTGTAAAGTCCACCAGTTGGGCCTGTCTTGAACCGCCTCTATTAAAACCACAAGCGGGCAACTGGCCGAAACCAACACCTTGGCACTGGGTACGTACTGACAGGCATGCTGGATGTCAGCAGAAATGGCACCGAGCCAGGAGGCTCCAGGGTCACACTCCCAGTGCGCCCACAATAGGCGCTTGAGGGTGGCCGGGCCGCGATGCACGACTTGGCGCAGGAGGGCAGCTCTAGCCAATGCTAGCGCCAGGGGCGGCGAGGGAGCGGCCGCGTCCGCTAGGGTGGCGTAAGAGTGCTGATGGTGCTCACCTTTCCTGCGCCTGTGTAGAGACCGCCAGAGAGCGACATACGCCTGTGCCCAAGACCTGAAATGGATCGCCGCGTGCAAAGGAAGAATTGCGCTGCCGAAAACAAAGCGGGACATGGCTAGGGACCTCAACATCAACCGTCTGGTGGCTAGGGCAATGTTGTCAGCCGAAAACAAACGGTGGCGGAAAGGCCGAATGGTATTCCACGCCTGTGAAGACCTATAGGAGATCTCGGGTGCTGGTGTGCCCGTCACAGTCGTGATGCCTCCTAGATGCTTGTAGGCTTCAACAAGGGGAAGCGCAAACTCCCGGCCAGAGATGGCACTGCGGCCCATCAAGCAAGGACCGTCGTTGGTCTGGTGAGGGCACCAGGACGAGTCCTGCCGTAGGGATGCCAACGGTACGACCGCCGCGGTCTTATCACGGGCAAAACCCAGCGTCATCCCAATGCTGTCCGCCTGCTCCACATAACATGTGACAACATCCCGAACAGCACCTGATAACCCCTGTGGACTGCATTGTGAGTGCATATGGACGAAGTCATCTGCCCACGCACCACATGACAGGTTGTCGGGAGCCCCTTCTGTGCACCATGGCTCTGGACCCTGTACTTCAGGGGTCGCAGTAGAGAGCCCAGCGGCGGCGACGGCGCGCTCAGCGCTTCGAAGGTAAGCTGAAAACGAGAAGGCGAACAGTATGTCCGCCAGCCCGTCACCAGGGCGAGTCCCCTGATGTGTAAGGGTCAACGCCGCTCCGCGATCGAGGCGAAACCATGTGCCTTGTAGTACGTCTGGCGTGACTGCACAAACGTGTTCTCTGCTGACCAGCGCGGGTATGGTAGCCATGCGCTGGAGCTGGCTAGCCAATTCGCTGAGCGCACTAGCGGGAACCCCGAGCTTGTGAAAGAGAGCTCGCAGAGCTCGGTCTGTGTCCCCAACCGGAACAAGCAGCTGGCGTATGACGCAGTAGAAAGCAGACTTCACGTCAAAGTACAGGAGGGCCCAGTGTTGCCCGAGCTTACGCGCTCTGGCTTGAAAGGTCCTTGCAGCGAGGGCGATGGCCTCCGTACTAACTCCTGGGAGCGTACCTGCCTGGAGGTCTGCAGGAACGAGGTGCTCCGCCAAGCAGCCTCGAACGTGTTTGTGGTATATCTTGCTCGGCAGATTCGAGAGGAGGATGGCCCTGAATTTGGAGCACTGCAGGGTCGCGGCGGCCTGTTTCGCCAGCGGCATAAGGCACCCGCCCCGGAACTCCAATGGCTCCTGGACGGCCAGAGCCGCCTTAGTGAAGACTGGCAGGAGTAACCTTGCAGAGAGAACAGCGTCGGCTCTCCAAAGCTCCCCGGTCAGGCCATCTGGTCCGCATGCCTTGCCGGAACGCAACTCTCTGATCATACATTCGACGCCGGTAAGCGAAGGCACGGCCGCAATGTCGAAGACGGGAACCGAGTGCTGGTAGGCAAGCCTTTGCTCCCGGAAAAGCGCGGGATAGCCTGCAGGATCAATGGCCTCGCCAGCTTCCAGTTCACTGAAATGGGACCTCCATGCCTCCTGCCTGTGATCGGGACTACACGCAAGGGTACCGTCCGGCAGTTCCACCGCCGGCAACGGAATGAATGACTGTCTCCGCTTTGAGGCCGCACCTGGAAATGCTTTGCGGACCGCACGGAAGAGGTGCTTGGGGTCCTTAATATCTGCGAGGGCGACCCTCTGTACGAGAGATTGCAGATAGTTCCCGCGGTCGTGCTTCGCGCTGGCTCGTAGATCCCTGCCCAGCTGATCGAGACGTCGGGAACCAATTGCAATGTCCTGGTACACATCGCGGAGCCAGCTGTTGGCCTGGTGCACCGCCTCTGGCGCGAAAATGGAGCCCTGGCGGTAGTGCAAGAGGCCTGCAAAGCCTATAAGAAGGAGGCGTCTGCGCAGCTCGGCATGGGCTCGGCTAAAATGTTGCCGGAGCTGCTTGCGGACTTGAACCTTCTGCATAGAGGCCTCCGACAGGTAAGGTTGGCGTGTGGCTCGACTGGGACTGGTCAAGTGATCCTGTCCTGCCTTAGTCCAGCCTTGGACCAGAGCCTCATAATGCCCATCGACGTTGGCACTCCAAGCACAGGCATGATCTTGCATCAACCCGTTCAAACAACCTAAAAAGGCTTCAGTGGGTGCCAAATGGGGACGCAAAGCCTTCCGGCAGAAACGACCATGCCGAGGAGAGGCAGGAGATGCGGACGCAAAACTGCATTCCAGTGCGACCGGATAATGATCAGCCTTGGCTTGTAGACTCTCGAATGTGACACACACCCAAGAGCTCAGAGCGTCGCGCGGCCAATGGGCCGGTACGGCTATGTAGTCAAGGCGTCGCGGCTCACCTTGAACTGGAATCCACGTGACCGAAAAGTTCCTCTGTGGCAGGTCGAGAACGTGGAGGGAAGTGTGAGGTCCAGCTCGGCTAAGAAGCCGTGAAAGGCCTCACCGGCTGCAGTTTCCTGCTCGGCACCTGCGTCGCCGATGGCATCCGAGACGAGGCTTCCCAGACGCGCATTCGCGTCTGCCAGCACAATTACCTCGGAACTGGGAGGCCTGCCTTGTATAGCCCTGAGACACATCCGCCAGAACTCCTGGGCTGTGCCAGCCGCTGCCGGGGGCTCCGAAGGCCCATGGGCGACTAGAACGGTCCAATTCAAGTGTAGCGCAGTGATTTGAACAACCAAGTGCCTTGGCGACATGCTGGTCACCGTAAGATGGTGCAACTCTAGGCGCCATTTGCTGTCGCCAGACACGGCGTAAGGCAAGCTCTTGTTGACCCACAGGGCAACACCATGATGTCCTCCGGTGTCGGCGGACGAGTGGAGCATGTGAAAGTCCCCGTCCGGCAAAACCTGTGAAGACATGAGCCGAGTTTCCTGGAGCCCACAGAGGAGAACCGACATTTCCAGGAGCTGCTTCTTGAGTATGTCTCGCTTGGCCGAGACTCGAAGACCTGCTTGACGCTGATTTTTTCCCGGCGGCCCTGGGTCCAGGAGTGTCAGCACGTTATAAGAGAAGAAAACGTGTCTGCGATGGATAGCATCCGCAAGAACAGGCTCTGGAACAAAGCCCATTCGTGGGCCATGGCTGGGAAGACGTGGATGGCGCTGAAGCCTGAGAGCCTCGCTCTCGAAGGCATATAACGAAGGCATGTCTATAGTAGTGATTGTGCGCTAGCCACGACCAAGAAGACAAAGAATGCTTGCTCAATCGTGCAGGCCACGTAGGAAGAAGGAGCTGATCCTCTGCAGGATTAAGACGTCTTACCTGCTTGGCGAGCTCATCGGTAAGCTCATTGCCCACTTCTCCGGAATGTCCCGGAACGTGCTCGGCACGTAGACGGAAACGCTGAGATGCGCACTGGCGCAAGTGCGCGGCATAGACCGCGATGGGGGACGGGCCGGCGTCAAGCTGACGGGTGACTGGCTGAGATTGCCCGAACGTTCCTTGCCCGGCTGCGATGCAGTCATACTTGAAGACAACCGGAAGGTCCCATGCTTCCGCAAACTCGATCGACCATGCCAGAGCCCACACTATGGCCAGGGTCTCACAAGTGATGGAGAGGCCATCGACCTCGCCAACCGAATAGGGGCTGCTGACAGTCTGGGCGGGTGCGGCGGCATAGCCCACAAAAAACATGTCATGACCAGATACAGCCCATACCGTAAAGGCCCAAGCTCCTGAATCGAGCTGCTGGCCGGAAACCGGATCGACCGAAGCCGACCCATCCGTGTATAGGTGCAGTTCGGTGGGACAAGGCCGCTGTCCCTCCGAATACCAAGACGCAATGCCGGAGAACAGTTGCCGTTTCTCTTTGGGCACCCGTCTGTCGGCCTGGAGAGCGCTGATATCTGCATCAAGCCAGTCTGTCACAACAGCACTGGACCCCGTAGGGCGGGCGGGCACCAGGTCAAGCAACGACTGAACTGATTCCTGGAAAGCTGTACGGGACAGAGACCCCATCAAGTTCAAAGTCACTCTGTGTTGCTGGCCAGGGGCGGCACCATGAAAGTGATCCTCCAAAGTCTCAAGCAAAGTGGCCGCCAAAAAGAGATGATGCGACGTGCGCTGCGCGCACTCCGCAAGCAGGGTGGCTGGGCCTGTCTCTGGCCTGTCTAGGCTAGGAGCGTCCGCTGCAGTGGCGTTCGCAGCATTCTGCGTGGTCAAGGCCGTGGGTTCATCGACTTCATCTTCCGAGCTGGTGTCCTGACCTCCTGAAAGGTAGAAAGTATGCTGGCGTGCCCGGCACGGCGTAGGAACAGGGCGGCGGGAGGAGTGTGCCCTGTCCTGGTGAAGACACGCTCGAGATCCGATTTCGCGCAAGCCGGAGCCATGGCGGCGGCCCACAAGGTCAGGAGTGCGATATAACTGCCCGGCTTGGCGGTCTTGGCTGCCGCGCTCCACGAGCCCCTCAGCTGCACGACCTTGTGGAACCCCTCGCAGGTCAGCGCATAGGAAATCCGTAGGTGGAGGCACAAGTTGCACGGCCTTGATACCTGGGATCATGCTGATCGCACAGAGGCAGCCGACAGCCAAGCCCGGAGCTGACGGAGAACTTGCACTAAACCTGCTACCTTTACCACGCTGTGGAACCTTGCCTGTCCTGACATTCTGACCCTTGGGAGGTAATCGCGGGTCAGCCTGGAGAGCACATGCACCTTGTGTATTGGCATCCTGATCAACATCAGGGCATGGGGCGCTGGCCGGACCATTGGCAGCAGGCCCTCCACCGCATCGGTGCGGAATCTGTGTATCTCTGACCTGGGTCTTGGTGCAGTTCCGAAAAGCAGCAGGATCTGTATGAGCTCCGAGGAGGGCAGAGGTGAGGCCCTGGAGTCCGGGAGAACGGACTTGGAGGTGAAAACCAGGGCTCCACATGCTAAATCGACTCGTGAGCGAGGCCGCGTTACACTGCAGCGCCTGTCGCTGGGAAGGCGGCACCTGTTTGACCTCATGCCTGTGCGGGGCAGAATGCCTGGAGTTGCTCCTTTCGGACATAGATCCTCCCTGCGTGTCGCCATGCGTTGTGGGAAGGGCCGTAGCGCCGGCGGACTCCGTGGTACCTGCAGTCTCAGTGCCTCCGCCACTTCGAGGCTCCTGGATTAAACCTGCTGGTGCAGCTGGGCCAGCTGGGCTGGCACCATCAAAACCTCCGGTCGCCTCGGCCCCTGTCATTGCCGATGGAACAATTGGAGCCAGAAACGCCCTGGCTACAATGACTGTACCGTCGACTATGGGGATCCTAGGAGGTGTGCCATCAGCGCCGGCTGTGTGAGGAGACCCGATGTGGCAAACTGCCAGGTGATGCCGTACATAAGGGCTCGCAGGTCAAGGATGCACACAGGGTGCTGCGGGTGCTGGCGGTCGTCTGCCTGCAGAGGCACGGCCAGCATCACCACATTGGACAGGAGTCCAAAAGCCGCATGGTCACGTATCCTTGGCCTGGCAACTAGAATCCTAAGATCCCGCGACGCACAACCCAGGTGGGACGCCAGGTCGGCTCGCACTTGCCGTGACCGATCCGGTTGTACTGTATGGCAGAAAGGTTCGGTGTCCGTGAGGACCCAAAGACGTTGTCCATGAACCCCTGGCACGTCTGGCTGGGTTACCCATCCCTGCGCAGAAAGGAGCATGTCTTCCAGGTTGGTTATCACAAGCACTGGGTGATCCACTGGCGCAAAAAGGACCAGATCTCCGTGCTGGAGTCGGACAGGCACATCTGGGGCCAAAGGCCAAGGCATGTCTCCGACATACACTAAGATGTGTTGAGTGCGCTCCAATTGTGCCACTGCAAACAAGGAGGCTAGGTCAATGGCGTCAGCAACCAGTGCCGTAAAAAAGGTGTGACCATTGATCCGGCTAGTATCGAAAACGATGAGCTGGCCTGGGGGCTGCCAGACAGGAGTCGCGACTAGAAGACCGTAACCTGGACAGGTCTGCGGATGCACTGGGAGCAGTTGTGGGAATACCCGTCGGTCCTCGAGAGTGCGAGCATCAGAGACAGCAGCTAATGCATCATCGAGCTCACTTGGGGCTTCGAGCTGAACCGTTATCAACTCTGGCCAACTATCATGGTTGAGGACAACAAAGCACGCTCTGTAGGGGAGGGCTTCCAGCGGCTCATTCATTCCTGTGTTTGGCGCTGGCACGGTCCACTGTGGAGGAGGAGCTCCTGGGTCTTCGGGATCCTCTCGAAGGGCTCGCTCCAGCCTTTGGGAGGCCGTCTCCGACGTGCCTCCGGTGCAAGAGGCAGTCGAAGCTGGCGGATGTAATCTGGCACTCTTGACCAGGGTCGCTGGAGCCTCAGGAAAGGATAGCTTGACAAAGAGCGGAGCACACAGGGCGGATATCTCCGAATCGGCGTACCCGGATTGCAGCGGGAAGGACAGTTGAGCCAGGACCATAGCAAGCTCCTTCGACTGCACACCTTGACACCTGAAGGGGGCACCCAAGAGGTCGCACTTAGGGTCTGTAAAACCGAGACACCCCTTGTAGCTGGAGCCCTGGGCGTCTGGGCCGCCTGGGACTATACGGGGGGGAGTACGGCTCCTGTCACTGTCATGACTCCGGTCTGGGGCACCCGCAGTGCCGCTTGGTGAGGCATCAGCGGCTGAGCTGTCTGCTTGTTCGGTGGAGCTCGTCTCCTGGTCTCTAGAGCTGGTCGAGCTTCCAGCCGTGGGCACATCGCTGTTAGGAGTGATCGGTACAAACTGCACCGTGAGAACGTGGCCTGGCACCACTAACATTTGATCCCCTTCAAGCGGTGAGCCGTCTATCTGGACTTGATGATCCGGCGGAGCCCACGCATCGTAATGTTCCACCATCTCAGTGTGGGAGCAGTCTCCGTCGGTGACCACCCACTGTTCCAATCCCATGAGAAGCGGCCTACAATCCGCAATGATGGTGAAGACCACAGGACCGGGGCGCCTCGGCGGGATGGGAACATTGGGCACCCTATCCGTGACACTAGCGACTCCCTTACAAAGCTTGCCCTCCAAAACCACATCGCGCATGGGTGGATGGGTCAGTTGTATGGTGGTCCAGTGGTACGGCAGTCGCAAGGCATTGGCCACATCAAGGTGGTGGTGCTCGGAGCGTCC